GTGGCACACCTTTAACCCCAGCACTTGGGAGGCAGAGGCAGGCGGATGGATCTCTGTGAGTTTGAGGCCAGTATGGTCTACAAGAGCTAGTTCCAGGACAGGCTCCAAAGCTACAGAGAAACCCTGTCTCGCAAAACCAAAAAAGAAAAAAGAAAAAAAGCAGAAATGACTGCAGTCTACTAAATGCCACTGGATGAAGCGTCTAGCAACAGTACTGGTTACCTGAGGTCAGAGACAGGTAGGAATCACCTCAGCCCGGAGGAAGAAGAGATTCAGGGATGGTATGGAATGTATGCAGAAAAAAAGACTCAGAGTCCAGAAAAAGACACATGTGACATACATGACCCATGGACCTCTCATACATTTTCTTTCACTTACGGAGATGGAAGTCTGAGAAGTGCTCTGTGCTCAGCCAGAAACCGGGGGAAAAAAAGAACCGGGAAAAGATTATCTCATTCCTCCTTCCTTAGGAATCCCTGAGGAGAGGAGACCAACAAAAGCAGGCAATAGACTCCAACTTGGGCTTATTAGCATCCTCCTTCTTCTCCGTCCTTTCCTTTCCATTCCCTCCCAGTGTCCTTTCCCCAGCACTGCTCAGTTTGCTGTTAACGGTACAGCGAAGCACAGCCCTTCTCTCATCCTAGGCACTGAGCGTCCATTATCATATCACACAGCCAAAGTACAGAGAGAAAGAAGAAAGGCTCTCTCGCCTCTCCTCTGATTTCTGCACTAGCCCTCCTTGCCTATACACAGAAAAAGAAAATAAAGAAAACACAGCAGGGGCTTCTTTAGGAAGAAGAACCAGCCTATAAAGTAATACAAAAAGTTAAGAGACAAGAAAGAATGGGGAGGGGGAGCTTTGAAAGACACCTCTGTCACTGTACACTGATTCATCCACCTCAAGTCTCTTTTCCTCTAAAGAAAAAGAAAGAAAAAGTGAAGCACATTTTCTAAGCCATTATGAAAAAGTCCCCTTTTCTCCATCATAAAAATGAATTGATTCTAATTTGAATTATTACTATTATCACTACAAATTATATATGATAATTATCCTTAATTGAAGTGCTTATGAACACAAGTGGTTTAAATTATATATTTTCTCAGACTTTGGATTGTATGCATATATAAGATGAGGTCTCTGAACTAAGACCCAAGTCTACATGCAAGTTCCATTCATGTCTTACCTGTGTTAAATACCTAGCCTAAATATGATACAACATCTCAGTAAGTGCATGCATGAAACAGAAATTCATCATGTAAAATTTACATTTGTAAGATAATATAAGCACTTGACAATTTCCAGCTCTTGAAGCATTTTGCATTTCAGACCAGGGATGCCTAATATGCATATTTATATATTTAACATGATTCTGTGTAGAATGATACAAGCAAACTGGTAATATAGAATACTGCCTGACCATTAGGTAATTAAATAAATATGGACAATGAAGATTACACCTAAGTGGAAAGTTTTGGAAAAGAAAAGCTTGCTTTTGAAGATTTCTGGGGATGTTCACATACATTTATAGTCAAACCACCAGAAAAGCACGTGACATTAATGGGTATAAAAGTATTATTTACATAAGTGTATCTAACTTAGGTCTTGAAAAAAGCACAAAGCTATACTTTACCTTCCAAACACTGGGCAGGACAAGGTTATAACTAGTACACTTGTCCTTGGCTTAGACAGCTGAGCCTCTCCTGCTGTCCCCACGTCTCTACATTGACATGATAGTACCTGCCATACTTTAACTACCTCAAACATGACAAGAGCACCCCACCACTCTACGTCTATAGAAACACTCAGCTTTCAGGAACCAACTCTAGGTCCACATCTTCTACACAGGACTCCACCTTGATGATCTCCAGCATCCAGGGATTCCAGCCGTCAACTCTCCACTCTCACAAGGACAACCTGCAGGAATCAGCTCTCTCTTTCCATCATGGGTCCCAGGAATCCAACAGAGATCATCAAGCTCGGCAGTAGGTGCCTATCCCAGCTGAACCACCTCTCTGGCCTCCTGGGCACTGTCTTACATGGGACTTAGATTATAACCCTTGTCTTGTAGATTTTCTTTCTACTGTATTTCTTTCTACTGTCTCTTCATTTTCTTTCTGACAAGAGATTAGGGTCTGAAATATGAGCTTTTGCTTTTAGGTTGTTTTTGTTTAACAGTTTCTTTTCATCTCTCTCTCTCAAGCTATTTCATGCAAGGAACACAGTTCAAGTGAAAAGATACTGCATTTGTTCAAACCCATGGAAGCACCATTTCTGAAGTAGTAGCATAACTGAGCGTCATATGAGTTTAGCATCAAACAGTTAACTTCAAAGGTAAAGAGAATCGCATGCAGTGATTGAAAGGATCTCTTCTGGTAACTGCACTTCCTTTAAAGTTTCCATAAATCGGTAAGGTGGGCAGCAAGAAGAGCAGCAGGTCCAATCGATGCTGTGATTAATGTTAACAGGCCATCCACAGCAGCACGAACACTGGCAAAAGCCAATCTGCTTCTGACCATGGTTTTCAATGAGAATGACAAATTACTAGTTAATGAAGAGCTGATTGTAAACTGGGGGTATTGCAGACACGCTTGAGGTCCTACATTCGATTCTTATTAGGATAAGGGTGGGAGAGTTGGTGCTAGATTTGCTACAAGAAGCTGTCTGTATTAATAGGTACAGCTAAGGCATAAGGTTGCAACCCACAACTCATGTCAATAGTTTTTGAAGAGGTGTTTTTTAATTATTATGTTAACAATGTATGGATTGAAAAACTAGTTACAGAAGAAATGCCTTTGCCTGAGAACAGATGTAAACTAATAGGGATGAGGGTAGGACAAAAACCAAGAAGTACTTGTTAACTAGACTAAATGAATTATAAACAGGAAATCAAAGCTGGGAAGATAGTTCAGCAAATAAAGATACTCATTGCCAAGCCTTGACAACACAAATTTGATCATCAGGACCCGCATGATAGAAGAGACCCAACTCCCACAAGTCAGCCTCTGACCTCCACGTGCTATGATTTATAAACACACTTTTTAAAATGTGAAATTGAGACAAACGGGGAAATTTACCTCTCCTTGGGGTGTTAAATAGGCATTGAGTATTATTTTTAAAGTACAATCAGTATCACTACCAGTATAAATGGTAAGTTATTTAAAAACTCATGTTTCCTTATAAATAAGCAGAGATGTTGGAGGTGTGGCCATTTGATTCTCTAGATGCAGCTGTTGGGCTTTCCCATGCTGCCCTGGCTGCCTTGAGTTAAAAGGGCTGTTGGCTAGACAGCCAGCTGGGCTATTCTAGGTCAGCATCTGCCATTCTGAACACTTCTGAGAGGTCCTGAACAAATGACACAATCACCACAGACGCCTGCTCTGGCTCCTGAAGATGCAGGCACAGCCAAAACTGTTACAAACCATTTGTATCAGAGTTTCTGCTATCACAGGCCTAAGAAAGCTCTAGATGACTCTGCTACTATTTCTACATAGGCCAGGGAGGGGGGCGTTTTTCCATGGTGGCCTAGTAAAGTGACTGTTACAGACAGGCACAAAGGGGACATTGTCTTGTCTGCATGGGAGGCTGGCTGTGGTTCCAGCAAACACCTTTTCTCTGGCTATATAAATCGGCTGTGTGCTCACTTGGGGAGTTGGACAGGAGACACCCTTCTGTGTTTCCTCTCTCATTTTGCAGCACTGGGCACAAGAAACGGCTTCTTCCCAGTGGTGTCTCCTCGCCCACATTTGGTAGCACAGGCTGACTGGGAACAAGAGCGGCGGGCGTCAGTGGATCAGCCGCAGCGGTCACGGCTGAGCAGCCAGAAGCAGCAGGGCAGCCATCTGCTGAACAGCTGATGCTCTGCAGAGCTGACGCGCAGCTAGGGGTCAACAGTCCACGCTGGAAAAGCAGCGGAGTGGCAGCTGCAGAAGAGGTGGAGTCACTGAGCTGTGCATGTGACCACAACAGCAGCAGGAGTTGGGCAGCGAAAGCCTCCCACGTGGACCGTGGCAACTAACACTGCGGCCATAACAACAAGAAGCTACTGAACCATCTAAGCCAGGGCAAGAACAAGAAGAACGGTGGGAGTACAGAGAGGACAGGAAGCTGGAGCTGAAGAAAGGAAGCCTGAGAGGGATCAGAGAATTACAGGCCCTGGTTACTGGAGAAGGTTCAGAAATGTCTTTAGGGCCAGGCGCCTTCAATAGTCCCCAGGCCTAGGAGCTTTATCACTGTTCACCATCAGGTCTTAGGAATGAGAGCTTCCTAGGCCCACACAAGAGGGAAATACCTATAAAGGGTCCTGCTACTCCGAGCTGGTACAGTTCCGAAGCCAAGGCTGCTGCCACTCAAGGCCTCCTGAGAGGAGAATACTGCCCAGAGCTACCTGCTTTTGTTCCCTGCCCTGTTACCAGCACTCAAACCTGCTCAGGGATAAATCCTGAAAAAGCTTTCCCTTGCCTACCCACAATTTCCATCTGCAAAGGACAAAAGCAATCGGTAACTGGTCGAAATCGTATCTAAACACCAGTATGGTGGTGCTCACCTTCAACCCCAGCACACAGGAGGCAAAGGAAGGCAGATCTCTGTGAATTCCAGGCCTGTGTGGTCTATGTAGTGAGTTCCAAACCAGCCAAGGCTACACAATTAGATTTTGTCTAAAACAAAACAAAACAGCAGCTGGTGTACAGTGACCCACGAGAATTAATTTAGGTGAAAATGCATTATGTAAAAATATCACAAGAAGTTACAAACATGAACATTTCTGGGATTTGACATCACTAGGGCTCTAAAACTAGCAGTTAAAATACCATAATGGAACAACATATCTGTCTTCTTATGTAGTCTTTGCAGGGAAAGCCTACAGTGTGGTTATTCCTTCTCCCATCCCAAATTAATCATCAAGTCTGTCGTAGTTTTCTAAATTCACTCCCCTATACTTTAGAATGATCTAACGGCTAAAACACTCCTAATGCTGGATGCTTATAATGCAAAACCATACCTTTTGGATTTCTTCCGGTAATGCGTGCATGGGAACGTGACGATCCATAGTTCCCCCGACGCACTGCAGGAAAACGGGCTAAAAACATTGATGGAAACGGTCAGAATCCACACAATGACAAGAAAACTCAAGTGATTTAAAAATTCTTAGTATCTGGAGATGAGCTGGCAGTACGTAGTTTAACAGGTGTTTGTTTCGTTGGTTCCATAGCAGAAGGTACAAGTTAAGTTTTCACAGTTAGTCCTTAAGCCACACAGGAAATTATAGAAATTACTGACACATCTTTTCTATTTTTCAGAAAGTTATAAAGTAATAACAAAAATAATAGTGGTTTATTAATTATCTGTTTTGTAACAAAGTAACTGTAAGATTTTAAACAGAGCTATTTCAGTATTCTAAAATAACATTTTATCTGAAAAGCTATAGAAAGAAATGTGTCATCAAGGCTTCTTTAAGTTATAAAACACAAAAAACAGTTACTAAGTTAGGATATATACAGCCACTGAACAGAAAAGCCATCAAAGCATCAAAGCCCACATGGCCAATTGTAGCTGAGATGGATAACTATGTAAATTTATCTAGAATTTAACTTTTAACAGACTTTCATCTTCTAATTTAGTATAAAACTCCTTTTATTACTTTCATGAAAACACAGTAGCCATAACAAGAAGCTACTGAACCATCTAAACCAGAAGAAGGTCTAAAGCCCGTGACTGATAAACAGGGGTAATGTCAGAGTCAAGAAAGGATACTGAGCTATCCTTTAGGTGGGGGTGGGATGTTAAAAAAGGCTCCCTAAGGTTTGCCTTAGGTCAGGGCAGGAGAGTGAAGACAAAAATAATGCTGGTGTTAGCCTGGCGGTGGTGGCGCTCCCTTTAATCCCAGCACTCGGGAGGCAGAGGCAGGCGTATCTCTGTGAGTTTGAGGCCACCCTGGTCTACAAGAGCTAGTTCCAGGACAGGCTCCAAAGCTACAGGGAAATCCTGTCTCAAAAAATAAAACAAACAAAAAAATAATATTGGTGTTTTTATTGCAAATTACTCAACCATTGGTGGACGAGAGATTCCTCAACTCTGTATTGGCCCAAATAGCCCTCATTTCGATAAACTGCTATTTAAGACCAACAACTAATGAGCTGTCTTCCCACAGACAACACAAACACAAGACAATGTGTATGTTTGGTCATGTTGGCTGAGGTCAACCACGGGAGTAAAGCTAATTATGTCGACATGAGTCCAAGTGACCAAGTACATAATCTGATGTTTGCCAGTCTGTCACAGTCACATGGCAAGAAACCAGAAGGCTCATTATCCTCAGTCACCATTAGTTAATGGAAATGATCATATCTTCAGGTCCACTAGGAATATTTTCCCCCAAAATTACCAACTAAATCTCCTTTAAAAGTACCATTTACAAAAGTATTAGCGAGCATGGATCTAAATAACAGTATAAATTCAAGTGTCAGAGGAATATATTTTATCTAGTGTCTTCACTGTGACTCGACACCAACCTATTACTATACCACCAGAAGTGGTAGGCTGCAGCTTATGAAAGAAAAATTAAAAATAGCACCCTAGTAAATTAGAGGGCCATCCAAAACATTAGTGGTGGTGGGGGGGGTGGACTAAATGAGTATTTAACTTGACTTTGAAACACATCGCAGAAAATATCCCTAAAATAGTTTAGGGATCCCATTCTTTTCATAGAGCCAATATACATTCATTGCATTCGTCCGAAGAGCACTGGTCATTTGTTCTCATACAAAGGGGCTTTTAACACTGTTTGCTTTAGAGTATGTTATTGTAAGATCCTTGTAAACTGGAATTGCTAGTTGCTTTTCTGCTAAGCAGCGCATGCAGACGGTTACAACTACGAGGTTGACACCGAAATTCCCAAGATGATGACAGAGACATTATTTTCTTTAATGTTAATTTTTGTTGTGCCTATATTTAAGAAAAGCCCATCGGGTCTTTATAAAGATTTGAATACCCAGAAAAGTACAGAGGAAGAATTTAAAAATAATTCAGGTTTTTTTTTTTTTTTGCGGTAGGGGGGTTTGCTTTTTGGCAGGAGAAAACTTGGAATTTTTAATTTGCCCATCTGTTATTTTGCCTGTTTTACCAAACAAGTTCCTTTGGTCTTTCCCATTACACATGTGTAAACTGCCCTTGGCAAAAGTACGGTGGTACGTGGCTGCACCTACGTGGGTGTTTGCCAACCTTCTCTGCGACACGCAGGTCACGAGAAAGACGTGTGTTTTTAAAAGCAGAAACGTCCCTGGTGGTTCATTTCCGATTCTTACACCAATGTCACGCCCGGTCATTAAACTCGGGTTCTGCTTCCAGGCCCTTCCTCAAGTACCATTCCGGGGACGTGAATCACATGAGGGCAGGTCAGGGGCAGGAGAGCGGGAGGTCACGTCCCTAGACTGGAAATTAACCGCCTGGCCAGACCGCACTTGCCCAGGCCTGGCCCAGAGGCTCGCCTTCCCGACACCCCCACTTTCACCACCCCGCTACTCCCGCCGCCCCCTGCCGCCCCCGCCGCCCCCGCCGCCCCCCCCCTCCCCACAACTGCGTCCTGGCAG